TCGGCGCAATTGACAGACTCTGTTCATTTATTTCCATTATTAAATAATAATATTAATAATGTTAAATATTTTGCAATGCCTTTGGTCGACTTATCAATAGATTAGATTAACTCCGGAGCTTATAAATATGAAAGTCAGTTTTGAAGATCTTTTTTTGTAACACTCCATGAGACATTTTGTTTTTGATATTTTGAATTTGTATTTCATAACATTTATTTTAAAGTCTATGCAAAATTTTATTTTTTTTCTCTATATTGTTCTTTTGTTTTTTTTTGCAGAAACAAATTTTTTTGCAAGTTTCTAAGAGCATAAAAGATGCCACGATTTATTTTTGTTTGTCTATTGGTTAATCCGTATACACTCATACTGAATGGAAGACTAAAGATATCAAAACTCGCAATCGATAGCTGCACCGAGGCCCGTTATCAATTACGTAATTTCTTTATCAGCATGCTTCAAGTTCGTTACCGTGCTTTTGTACTTGATTATACATGTATATATCTAATATCGTTTTAAGCGGCAGCTGTCACGTTTATCGATAGGCGCATTTAGGTCGGCGAAAAAAATTCATAGTTCCGCATGGCTTGCGAAATTTTCCTGCTGTAAACATCGAAAATGTCGAAATAGTTTTCAATTTCACTAGATCGAGAAAATATTCTTCGGTAATGTTTTTACCGCAAGGTTTTACCATCACGCAGCCATAGCTCGTTCTTCTAGTCTCGATGGTGTCGTAGCTACGCGTCATCCGAGTACCAAGTGTAATGGAGGTAACATATAACAGTGTGTGAAAAGAAAATACAATATAAAACTTCGGAAAATTAACAAAGTTCAAAAGGAACTTTGAAAATTTACAATAGATAACGAATATTTTAAAGTCGGTGCGTAGCTCTTAGCTTGGTATAGTTTCCCAAAAATGATTCTTTGGAAAACGATACCAATTACCAGGTCTCACCACGTGGAGGTGGCTACGCATCGAGACCCGACATGCGCCCTAGTAGCGCAACCTACTGGTGCTACCTGTATCAAAGATAACCTAACCTAACTTGGAGCGAAAGAAGTTAAAGCGAAGGTACTGACACTTTATTATATTTCGTGTCTTACAAAGGGGATTTCGATTCGGTATACTAAAACTATTGTCGCAACGCTAAGATATTTCATTTCAATAGACTCTAATATTTCTAAGTTCCCATAAAAATAGGGAATGAAAAACGCGAGCAAGTAAAAAATCGCGACGCGACCGAACGAATTCGCGATTATTCGAAAGACCGACTAGCCTACGAGACGTACTCTCGTGTACAAGACAACTTCGTGCCTCGGCAACCTCCCGACTCGAACCTAGCCCATCCAGCCACCACAGACCCTGCCATGACTTACTCGCGAGCGAGAATGGTCGACGAACCAACGAAACATCCAAAATCAAGCCGAGGGTCCCTAGCGAGGCCCTGTAGCCGGTCACGCAGGCCCCTGCCACATGGGGGAGAACTTAATCATCCAGACGAGTCGTTTGGGTGACTTATGAAACATGATGTTATCGAGCACACGAGAGTACGTCGCGCAGGCTAGTCGGTGCTTAAGAACGATTGCGATTGTCGCGAGAACAATTATGTTCTATTTGGTAAACGAGAGGGATGAAATAGGAAAAATATGAGAGACATATATTCGCTCCAAGTTAGGCAGTTACCTTTGTACGAATAGCACGCACATGGTACTTAGTCTAGGTGTCTATCTTATGACAACTTAGGTCTACTTAAGTCTAAACACATCCCGCGTTGTTCATGGATGTGTCCCAAATTAAGTTTTGAGAAACCTAAAAGCTAAAACAGAATATATTATTGTTAATATAAACCTGAAATGAAACGAATTAATACGAGGAAAGAAAACGAACGAATATAAACCATGAAGGTTAACCAAGAGGAAGGAGCAAGCCACCGATGAGACAGAAACAACCTAACGACGAAACATTCGAATATTATACGAAATATTCGAATGTTCGAATGAATATGAATAGAAACGAAAAAATAAAATGTGGAAAAAGAAGAATAAATTAAACCTGAAAGGAAAAGAAATAATTAAAATCTGAAAGAAAAATAGATTAGACCTGGAGAAGAAAATTATTAATAATCCAAAGATGAGAGATGAATAACCCAAAAAATGAGATACAAACTACCCAACGATGAGACATGAAGAAACCACTAACGAAACATTCGAATATTATACGAAATATTCGAATGTACAAATATAAATGAATATAAAGGAGAAATAACATCTGAAATAAAAAAAAAAAAAATAATTAAAACCTGAAAACAAAAATGAAATTATTAGTATATAGTTTAAGGGAGTGGGGTGTGGGTGGGGGGGCCAACCCCAACCTCACTCGGACCCCCCTCCCGTTCCCGCACACGGAAAAATTTAGATGTTGCACTCCCGATGCCAAACTGGCAAATGAGTTATGCTGCGTCGCGTCGCCCTTTATATAGCCGCCGATCGACCGAGTCCCCCCACTCCGATCGAAAATTTTCGAACTTTGCCGATTTTATTAATTCTTAATTTTCCGCTCTCATTGACAATAATTTATTAATTTTTTTACTTTTATTATATATTTACGTTACGTAGACACTTTGTTATTAACAATAGTAATTTGTTATTAAAATCGGTGTAATTATTTATAAACTTTTTACAAATTATAGATACATTTTAACGTACGTACATTGTAAATTCAAGTAATAGTCAATAATTTATTAATTTTTTCACTTTTATTATAAATTTACGTGGTGAACAATTTAATATTAACAATATTAATTTGTTATTCGCACTTTTATAGGATAAATTTCCAAGATACCTGTATGTATGTCAAGATATTTTTATTTCCTCGGTATTTTTCGCTAAAATGAAGTATTACACGAAGACTAAAAGCGTCAAGAGATTCATCCTCATCTTAAAAATAAGGTGCGATTTTATTTTTTAACAACTTTATATTAAAAAGTCATTCGTATTTATATATCGAATAACGAAACTGTTTCAAATTGCTGTGATGTAGAGAAATTTTTTACAATTTTTCAACGATTGGACGACGATTTGGGTGTCGATTACGCGTGAGTACCGCCTTAACGAAGTTAGATGTGCGAACAATGGCTGCCGATATATATCTTACCGTCATGTCAGCATCGAACATCATCCTAATATTGTTTCTGTATCGTTTCTTCCCCAGAAAAGCCTACAGAATACACTACTGTGTAGCAAATTGCTGTCAGATAAAGAACATCTTGCAAAAATTCGAGAATATACGTAGAAAGTACGCTCAGAGGTATAGTTTCATTTTTTATTATTATTAAACCATTATTAATTCCCATTCTTGTTACTATTATATTTCTTTTATTAAATCTGGAATATTCCAGACGTCACTGCAGATTTCCACGAAAATCCGAGAGTTTTCACAAAGATCAACGAAAATGACAACAAAATCACGAGGGGACGCGTTATCGACGTATTTTTTCGAACATTCCATGGCGTCTTATCGTTCGCACGTAGCAGAGTTTGTCGCACCTTTTGTGTCAGCATCGTCGCAGATTATCTTCCGGCTATCTCCTTCCTCTTACACCTTGCCTTCATCCAGAGAAAAACAAGTCTTGCAACGTTCTTCTCCGCTAGATTATTCGATCTTCGACAACAAAGCCGTGATAATCGCGAAAATAAAAGAGCACATCGCAATAAGCTTTTCCAGAGAAAAGCAACGCCAGATCGAATTGGCCGGATTTTCGTTTGATCGATCGTTTAGCCAAGCTGAAACGTCTGGCTGGATTTGGTAAGCTCGTTAAAGCATCCGATGGCTATCTATATGCACCTTTATACGTTCCTTTGATCCGTTGTCGCGATGTGGGATTGGAATTGAATCGCGAAATGGAACTATTTTCTCCTCCATTTTTTTTTTTATTCCAGAACGATCATCGATTAGATTTCAGAGGGTATTTTGTGGATGAAGAAGCAGCTAGATCGCGACGTTCAATAATGCAAAACAATCGGACGATTTGAAAGGCTTGCCTTTGTTCTCGTCACCCTGTTGCAATATTAAGTGGCGGCTATTAGAGAACGGTAAACCGAGCCTCTTTGTTCCTTACCTGTCTATCTCTCTCGTCCTACAGTTCTTTCCTCTTTCACCTGTTACCTAATTGTCTAACGAATTTTTAGAACATGGGGCAGTACACGCGACTGTCATGCTTGAAGGGATGAAACTGTGAAATCAATCGAAATAGTCTGATAGAATTACGATTAATATACTCGAATCCGAAATAATACGATACTGGAAGAATATTTCGTAAGGAATTAAACATATTTTTATCACCTTAATACTGTGGAAGTGAGTCATATCTGAAGCTGAAGGATTACCAAATTCTTTCGTCAGTGATATATCAGGAATTCAGAATTCTTTTATTAATTTAACACTGTTGAAACGAGTTATATTGGAAGCTCCAGTAATTTATATCTAATTGTAGTAGCCAATTAGGGTTATGTTTCTTTTAATCATTAAAAATTCAATTCAAATATAACCCTTTCGCGAGTGATCGTTTTACTTATTGAGCCTTATGACGATTTTCTACTTAACTCACTAGCGCCACCACGGCTCGTATCTACGATAAATGTATCGGAAGTGTGTATACATCTAGTTGTAGTACTCATAGGGGTTATGTTTCTTTTGACCCTTAAAAATTCAATTTAAATTTAACCCTTTCGCGAGTGATCGTTTTACTAGCCTTATGACGATTTGTTACTTAACTCACTAGCGCCACCATGGCTCGTATCTACGATAAATGTATCGGAAATGTGTATACGTCGTTGAATTATTTTCTAATCTTGCTCTAATATAACTGTTGTCGCAAATTTGTCGATGGTACGATCATATTCGCGAAGGGGTTAAATAAGACTGATATTAATTATCAATTAAAGTACTGGTATTGTTGAGGCATTTCTGTCGATCTCAAAAGAAGGATCTTTGTTTTTACTTGCTGTGCGCTATGGGGACGATTGGATATCCGGGGTGACCATTAAGGAGAAACAGCCACCAACGTCGCCCACTTCACCCACTGTCTGTCCGACGAATTTCATTCTCCACTACGCTGTACGTGGACCAAAGAACAAATGGAGTCATCACAGCGTAACGATGAGCCACACAGACCCCAGACAGGTCGCCTCCTGGGTAAAGACCATCCGAAATTACCTCATGGGTAAGTTTCATTCCCCTTTTTCATCCCTTTGCCAACCTTTTCGATGAAGCTTCTTTTATCGTGCAGTATCTCTTCATCCTGCAACCGAATTGAAACGAATTTTCCTCTTTTACTTTGTAATTTAGCAATTAGGAGTTCGAGCTGAGAGGCGGCGAGTTTCAAGTGGTCGTACAGTATAATTTGGAAAAATTGGATTCGTATAATTTTCACTGCTTCCTTCTCGATTTTATTTTTACACGGTATGCATCTAAGGGGTGCAAGAAATCCCAGGTCTATGTAAAATATATATAAGGGGTGTCCCAAAATTCACGCAAGATTTGGATTTTGCGTATAAAGGGTGTCCCAAAATTCACGCAAGATTTGGAATTTCCTTATAAAGGGTGTCCCAAAATTCACGCAATATTTGGATTTTGCGTATAAAGGGTGTCCCAAAATTCGCGCAAGATTTGAAATTTCCTTATAAAGGGTGTCCCAAAATTCACGCAAGATTTGGAATTTCCTTATAAAGGGTGTCCCAAAATTCACGCAAGATTTGGATTTTCCTTATAAAGGGTGTCACAAAATTTACACAAGATTTGTATTTTGCGTCATTCGTGAAGCAAAATGTTGCCAACGAAAAGACAAAGACAGCGTGACAGGTGACACTTCTGGGTTTTTAAAAATGGAGTAAAAATGCTACAAGAAAGGACAACGTATCTAGATTATTGAGCAATATTTACAATTTGTAATTAAAAATCTGTTTCCTCAAAGTTACTTCTTGCGTGAATTTTGGGACACACCTTATATCAATGAGAATTAATTTTAGTACACCTTGGAAAGAATTTATAAAGCTATATTCCTTTGGTCGCTATTCGTTACCGACTAGTTGTGAAAAATTCCACGGGGTACATGATACTCTTATTCACACATTCTTCAAGAAAAGTAATTCGAAGAGGACTCGGTGTTATCTCTCAGCTAGCCAGATAAGTAACTAGTAACCTGGAACCGTTTCACGAGTCGTTGACTGCACGACAGAGTCGTCATGACACGGCAATTGACTGTTAATCGTTCGGTCTCTAAGAATAGACCATCCTGGAAGAAAGACGAGGAATTACGAGGTAAAATTTCGCAGAATTTCTCATTCAGGATAATGACAAATTAAACGTACAAATAAAATTCTATTTCGATAGATCATTGATTTATCCTGTCAATCAAGGGAACGAGACCACTGTCAAATAGCTCGTGGATAGAGAAACGAAGGATGAAGAACTTCAAGAAGGATAAAATAAGAAGAGATATTACAGGATTATATTTATTAATCGTCAATTGTATATTATCCGAAGAAACAAGAAATCAAGTGGCCAAAGTAATAATTTTCGAGCCAGGATGTCAGGCTAACATTTCGAGAATGATCATTAGGTTTAGAATTAGGGTAGCCTGTATGAGATCGATTGGTTATACCAACGATATCGTGCGCGAATACACGAAAGAAGTAGGTGAAAGTTGAACAGTGCTGTTCGCGTGTGCTATTATTTCCTTTCTATTCGAGCCGTGGAAATGGTCGTCGCTTAAATAATTGAACGAGTATCGATTATCAGTCTCTCCATTTGCGAATGTCACTAGATACTTGAATAGCCGATCAAAAGGAGAAAGACCGACGAATTTTTCAATCATGTAATTACAAATTAAAGATAAGTAATTCGATTATTAACATTCACCTCTTTCTTTCTCGCTAGAATACACTGTGGAGCCTCGATTATGCGAATCAAAGATAAATCATCAAAAAGAAAATTGTGAAATTTCTTAGAAAATTTCCTATTTTCGTTCAATGTTCATATCTCATAGAATATTCCAAGATAGATGATCTTTGTAAGATTTTCAATCGAAAAGAAAATTGTAAAATTTCTTAGAAAAATTCCTATTTTCGTTCAATGTTCATATCTTATAGAATATTTCAACGTAGACGATCATTGTAAGATTTTCAATCGAAAAGAAAATTGTGAAATTTCTTAGAAAAATTCCTATTTTTATTTAATGTTCATATCTTGTAGAATATTTCAACGTAGACGATCATTGTATGATTTTTGTACGTATATAGTATTGTTTAATCGTTATGATAGTTGTGTGTCAAGATTAATTCGGATAATCGGAGGTTTTACTGTAATACTTTAGGTTTTCAAATATAATGTAGTTCTGCGAAACACTCCTCGATGTTTAATCTTGTAAACGGTGTTGCGTTTCCTCGCAAATGAGTAGAAAGGATTAAGCGTGCATGTTGGAACTAGGTCGTTGGTTACGGATCAAGGCTGCGTAATTAAGGTACGATTTTTGCTAGCTCAGGCTGGAAAAAGAGAACTAGAGTCGGGAAAGGTAGATACACAGGTGTAGATCAGCTAGAAAATTACTCGTTTGTCTCTGTTTGTAAAAGAGTCATTAAATTTAGTGGGACAGGCAGTTTCAGTTTCGATATCCCGCTCTACAAACATCGATTACTGACGAGCATCAAGAGAAATCGTAATTGGAAGATCGTATTTTTGTTTCTCTTCGTGATTCTTTGTTTCTCTGTCTGGCTTGTCCTAAAACGAGCGTTCGATATTTCAGATAAACACGTAACTGTGTAGCGTTTGATGGTGTTTTTCCTGAGTAAATAGGTGTCTGAAAATTGAAAGAATCCGCTCTATTTCTATTCCACAACGAGTCACTTCTTCCAACATCTCCAGTTACAAAATTGAACGCTTTTACTTTATTTATAGCGATTCCACTTTCAAAACTGAACGAAAACCCAGCCAGAACTTTGCTTCATTATACTACCGTAGTACTACGTTGTACAAACGAGTCGAAGAATTTAATTTTCCATTCGTTTCCTGTTTGCTAAATTTAGGGAAGTCAGAGTCAACAACCTAAGCTTAGAATAATACAAGAATTCTGTAAGAATCTGAGAACCTTGCGCTTGGGAACTCGGATTTAGAACATTTAGAAAGCCCAAGAAGCGAAATTTACAAGAATCAACAAATTTCTATGAAAGTCAAGAAGTTTAGCTTTTAGTTAAGGTAAATCTAGAAGAATCCAAGAATTCCAGTCTAAAGTAACAACTTAGACCTAGACTAGAGTAAAGATCCAAATAAATAATTCAAGAATCCAAGTCTAGAATTTTGAGAAGAATCTGGAGGAGCTTTCCTCCATCTAATCCAGAGAAATCCAAGCAGCTAAATTTAAAAGGACTCAGAAGCTTGAAGGAATCCAATAACTTGGACCTGGACTGAAGACCCAGGGAAGTAATTCAAGAATCCAAGTCTAGAATTTGGGGAAAAATCTGGAGAAGCTTGCTTCCACCTAACCCAGAGGAATCCAAGCAGCTAAATTTAAAAGGATTCAGAAGCTTGAAGGAATCCAGTAACTTGGACCTGGACTGAAGACCCAGGGAAGTAATTCAAGAATCCAAGTCTAGAATTTGGGGAAAAATCTGGAGAAGCTTGCTTCCACCTAACCCAGAGGAATCCAAGCAGCTAAATTTAAAAAGATTCAGAAGCTTGAAAGAATCCAATAACTCGGACCTGAACTGAAGACCTAGGGAAGTAATTCAAGAATGCAAGGCTTAGGCGAGACAGGAAGCAGCAGACACGAAGAGGATCCGCAGGAAGCGTCACGTTTATCGACCAGCTCGCCATGACACCTCGTAGAGCGACACTTCACCTTGCGAAACTGCTTGCTCGCGCCCACGGCTGCTTCCCCTTGCACACCTGCACCCCTCAGGCTTTTACGTCATTCTCATTCAGCGGATAAAAAGCTTAAGGATGCACGCGTGCAGTTTCTGCAGCTTAAATAAGCCGTTCTTTCAGTCTGCCGCCTTTCACTGTTGCTGTACCTTAGCTCGTGCATGTTTCAAAAGCGTCTGGAATGGCGGTTGACGCACAGAGTGGGTGTTTCGCATGGTGTTTCAAGTTATTAATAACGATGCTCGAAATAAGTGTCTCCCTTGGCAATTTTAGCCCGTCGTTGCACACGGTTTATATTAAATTTATGGCCGGCAGACGATAAGGGTTGTCGGGTTTAACCCAGACCTTAGCTTAGGATAATTGTAGATTAGATACTGGCATCGGTGTAGCTTTGACTTCAGCGAAAAGTTCACAAGTTGCTAAAGTTCACGTGCAGGGCGCATCGTGGGTTTATACGGTTTGTCTGACATAGTTTTAGCATTCTAATTTACCACTAGGCGAGTCGGGTCTAGCGTGGGTTTGCCGAAAATTAGGTTTGTCAAACTCTGCCTAACTTTTTGGAGGGTTCGTGTTTCCCTGAAGTATCGTCGCTTCGTAAATATCTACGTGGATTTTCACTGCTGTCGTCGAGATTATTAACAAACCAAGGAGAATTGTAAATATCCTTTTGTTCGTTTGTCGTTCCTCTTTCCCCGTTGAATAATTTGAAAACAACATCAAAGTCCAAGGAGACGCCGCTGTGAGGAAAGAAGCAAAGTACTTTAGAAAGATTATTCCTGAAAAACCGGTTAGGTTCGCGATTAACAGGTCTGCGAGTGATTCTTCAGTCAAGGTCTAGGTCGATAGTTGCGACTTTCCGCCTCATTGTCGACGTTAGACCAGAGATTTATTTCCGCCCGAGCTATTCCATGACCACCGACCATAAATTACCTCGAAAGAAATCAGAAATACTCGCGAATTTTTAAAATTCCCGCCTTTTTACCCTTATTACTATATAATTACGATAATATTAATATTTATAGCAATGGTATTAAAAATGACAGATTAAGAACTAAGAACAACGAATTCTTTTTGGTATTCGTTTCTACAGAAATTTTGTAGTTCATGGTTAACGGTATTCCCGATAATAAAATTTTCCTGCTAGTTTTAGGCCATTTCTTGCTAGTTTTATTTCGAGGAGTAGCCCGATTTCTAGTCAGGTTCGAGTTTTCGAGAAAAACACGTAGATGTCGTAGACAGGTTGGCATGTCGGGGATAAAAATAAGTTTGTACAGATCGGGAACGAATTATAGCAGTCAACCGGTACACTTTCACCGCGGGTCACTAGACCTCCGTCATGTGGAATGGAACACGCGTTGGCTCCCGGCGAACCGTGAAAAGTTAGCCAAACGCGGGAAACTTTCAAACACGCGCTGACATTTTCTCCCTATTATGCAAACAGCGTGTGACATTATATTATCGTAAACGCGAGAAAAATATAACGTTGATGCACGATTGATCAAAATTGCGATATTTTTAAGAATTGCTATAATTCGTGTTAATTATTGTCCTTCTTCATGGTATAACAAGAGACAGCGTTGTGATTTGTAGAATAGAATTTATTATCACAGAATACTTTAAAAAAACGGCTTGTACGTTATATCATAGCACTCGAGACACATACACATACAAAGACAAAGCAGCACGCTTAATCCTTTGCACTCGACGATCATTTCGTTACAGAAACATAGTAATTCGAAGATTTTCTGCCCTAAAGTGGACGATATTTTGAAAACGGTAAATAGGAAGTGCAAATTAATTGTAAGACCTAGAATTATTTTATATTTTATATTTATATTCGATATTTCACGCGTCGTTGGATAATTTTAAATTCGAGATATTAATTAACAACGATCTTTAGAACCTAATTAAATGGCGACTGAGAGTCGCCTCTCGAGTGCAAAGGGTTAATACACAAACAAAAGAAGGACATCACTCGGTGACAATACAAACTAATCGTAAGGATGGTAATTATCGTAGAGATTACTATATTATCGACAATCCGAAATGACAGAATTCTGACTTACGGCGATATTTCCATTCCATGGCGTGACTTAATTTCAATATTCCGATGATACAAAGACAATTGAACTGCGATTATAATTCAAACGTGATCGATCAAAGTTGAACCGCTTAATACCATTGCTTTGACTGTAGATAGCGCTGTTATCTGTTTAAACAAATACGGATTATTTGCTAAATGCAACTTTAGAGTGTGAAACACTCTCTTAGGTCTATTCACTTCTAATAGTAACCAGTAGGCTGTTATATCAATCCTGTGTGTGTACACGGCATAAAGTGTCCCGGCCTAAGCGATAGCTAATCGTTAAGTGGATATCGCTTCGTCGATCCCGTAATATTCCTAACACTGTGTAAACGAGCTTATCGGCTGTTCCAATCAATCAAACCGCCACCGTCGAATTACGCTCTCCCCTCGGGGAGAAGGTAGGCAGAACGGGAAAACAACAGGGCGGTTCTTTGCCGTGCGTGTAACGCGATCTCTTTCTGGTTTATCCTGTTGGGAGAACCGGTGCCTACGGTATTGATCCGGCTTCCTGTTTCGCTGTGAATGCGTCTCTGTAAAAAAAAATTCTCGATAGAGCAACCATATTCATTTCCCCGACGATCTTCTAATCATTTGCTAATCCTCGGCCCACTTTCCAGCGAGGAATTAATTATTTTACGAATCACGTGATCATTATAACGATTTAGGGGGCATAATCTGTTTGCAGGGCTTACCCATCGACCAAGGAAGGTCTTGCTGTTCGTCAACCCCTTTGGAGGGAAGAAGAAGGGGTTGAAGATCTGGGAGAAAGATGTGCAACCCCTAATGACCATTGCTGGCGTCGAGACGAAGATGCTGGTCACGGAGAGGGTTGGATATGCTCGTGATATCCTCCTAACTGCTGATCTCAGTGACTTCCACGTGAGTCTTAATTTCAGTTTCATTGGCGAGGTTTTCATGGTATAGAAATACATGAAATTCCTTTTTCCTCGAAATACATTTTGTGTAAAGCAGCAAAGGGTTCCATTTCTCTTCCACTTTCTAGGCAATATTAAATAAGGAAGCAAAAGCAGCAAGAAAAAATTCTACCCTCCATTTCCTCTAACGTATTTAAGTAAATCTGTCGTGAAAAGTACCTGCAATTTGTCTCCTATTCCCTTCGAGGTATTAAATGAGTCTTTCACGAACTCTTACCATTTCCCTTTCCACTGCTTTCAGAAAATTTTAAATCGTTCCTTCGTCGAAAAGCACGTTACACTTTTCTTCCATTTATATATTTGGATAAATTTTTCACGACAAGCACGTCCCACTTTGGTTCCTGCAAAATATTAAATAAATGTTCCACGAAATGCTTACCATTTCCCATCCACTCTTTAAAACGTTTTATAAATTTTCAAGCAGACATTCTGCTGGGAACTTGCCTCGGTTCCTTGCATATTCAACGTTTTTCCGTCGATAGAGCATGTTACAACCCTCTTTACCTTTTCTAGGCGGTGGTGTGCATCGGTGGGGACGGCACCCTCGCGGAGGTGATCAACGGTCTAGTGCTGAGGGCATCGAGGGATCGACAAATCGACCCCAACAACTCGGAGGCGATCTTACCGACGCCTAGACTCCCTATCGGGGTGATACCTAGCGGGAGTACCGACACAGTGGCTTACAGCCTCCATGGAACCACCGATGTGCAAACGGCTGCGATACATATCATTTTTGGCGACAAGACAGGCCTCGATATCTCCTCCGTGCACAGCGATCAGACGTTGCTCAGGCTGTACGCCAGCATGCTGAGTTATGGCTATCTGGGCGACGTGATACGAGACAGTGAGAAATTCCGATGGATGGGGCCCCAACGGTACGATTATTCGGGTGAGTAACGTTTTTGTTCGATTGAAAACGAGCATAATCTCTTGTTGAGTTGTTTGCGCGTTGGGTGGTAGTCCTGTGAACTGTGTGTGTCTCCTTTTATACATAGTATAGTCTGGTAAAAGGAACTGGTCATTTACGTGACTTAAAATATAGAATTTTTAGGTTAGTTTTATAGTTGAATATTTTATTGCGAATTGAGAGGCTTTTCTTCTCGAATAATTTGATTTTCTGGATTGTATGTTTCTTTTCTGTTAATTCTGTTCATTTTTGGTGTAATTTCGTAGAAAGAATTGACCACCGACCTGACACGGAATTAATTTTTGGGTCGGTTTTCATGGCGATATAATTATTTGGGAATTCAACGAATGCTTCTTATTCGTGTTTATGGTATTCTGTTTGTTTCTGTACGAATTCATGAAACGGAAAATATTTTTGTTCGAAGAACTTGTAACAGGGTCGAATGGAAGCCCAGGAACGGCTGATCGATGGGGGACGAAGGAATTTTTAGTGGTGGGGGTAACTCTTTAAAAGGACCGAACTTCCAAGTGTTTTCACACAGACCGTAGTCGTCGTGGACGAAGGAACGGAGCGAATAAGAGAAAGAAAATATAAACTATAGTTGCTTTGCATTAAGAATTTTAAAGTACGAGCGTGGGAAGTAGAATGTACGATTGTAAAAAGAAATTTACGAGTTTCTTTAAGTCGAAAGGTGGGCCGGCTTAATGTACAGTTCTGTTCTAGTTTCCCAGTTAACACGCGCGTGTTCGCGAAGGTGGTGAGGTTATATATGTAGGGAGAATCGCGCAGAGTAATAGTCAGTATTTCATTGAAATAATATCTCTTCGAATTTTGTATATCGGTAATGAGAGGATTCTTCATTCTTTCGCACTCTTGCTCTGACACTTCGACGAAAGATACACACGAAGGAAAAGATAAAAGAAAACAGCCAGTATCGTAGAGAACTTGAATTAAAGCGTTTCATGAAAGTGTTTTATGCGGCATTCAAACGAGAGTACACGGTAGAAGTTGAAGCAGAATTGTAAGATGGAGCTAGGTGAGGTAGTTCTTCAGCGCTCTCTTGCGGTAGATTCGTGAAGTAGGATGCATCATGGTAAGTAGATTTGCTCAGCAGGTAAGTATTTGTTTTTCTTCGTTATATATTAATTATTAGTTTTCTGTAAAGTCTGAAATTAGGATGTTTTGTCAGATACGTAGTCAGGGAGAGGTAGTAATAAATGTGTTATTAATCATAAATGGTAGAATAGGGTATATAGTTGGAATTACTATTATAAAACGAATTGAATGCTACAATTAACATTAACATATGATGGTTTTAGTAATATATTTATTTCTGTCTACAGGAAACGGCAAGAAACGTAGGATGCAGTGGGTTCTATGAAGACGGTGTTATATATAGATTATAAGAATTTGTTATATAGTTTTACATTGTATTTATATTGTATTAAAATAATGTGTAAAATAAATATTTTATACAAATTGCAATGCATTCATCTTATTTTCCCAAACAATTACACCTCTCAAAAAAATTCCCCATAAAGTAATAAATAATATGAATAATAAATACTATGAATAATAAAAAATAAAAAATAATAAATAATAAATTCCCAGTAAAATGTGAGAAGAAATACGTTTGAAGTTTATTAAAGAAGACCCAAAAACTGGGATTTTGTATCAGGAGCATATAATGTTAGAGGAGGTATCACGACCTCGCGAATTCCTGGAAATGACGTCACATTCCGAGAATTCCCGAAAGCGAAGTTTTGCCAGAGAAATTGCCCAAAACTGGGATTTTGTATCAGGAACATATAATGTTAAAGGAGGTATCACGACATCTTGGATTCTTGGAAATGACGTCACATTCCGAGAATTCCCGAAAGCAAAGTTTTGCCAGAGTAATTGTCCAAAACTGGAATTTTGTATCAGGAACATATAATGTTAAAGGAGGTATCACGACATCGTGGATTCTTGGAAATGACGTCACATTCCGAGAATTCCCGAAAGCGAAGTTCTGCCAGAAAAATTGTCCAAAACTGGGATTTTGTATCAGGAGCATATAATATTAAAGGAGGTGGCACACCACAACTTCTTCTCCTTATTCTTTTAGCACCTTTTTTCGTCATTTTTAAGTAGGGGAAGGGATTGAAAAAATAAATCGCTCTATTTTTTTGTACGTTTATTGATAATTCGGAATATGTACATTTGCTGATGTTTAACAATTATTTCTTACAATAAATAATGTAATATATAATATAATACATAATATAATATATAATATAATGTATAATAATATAATATATCATTGTCTATCTTCTTTTGATGTCTTTCATCTTCTCATTTGCGTCTCCTCTTCATCCTTCAGGTTTCATACCTGCACAGTAAAATGCAATATTAATAAATCAATTAAAATTCCTAAAGTCATTAAAAGATACAGAATAAAAATGTTTACCTTAATTTAATCTTAGGTTTCAAGAAGATCCTTGCTAATAAAGGTTATGAAGGTGAGATCCATCTTCTCTCAGACCCCTGTCACCCGGCAACCAGCACAAGATGCATAAAGAATTGCACCAGGTGTCTCCAACATATGCACAACAGCATTCCTGATAAAGAGATATCTAGTTAGTTGCAAATTTAATTTAAATACTACTTTCTTATGGTTTTTAATATTTATTTAAATATATTCTTTCAATTTACCTAAATTTATATTAGGATGGGTGACTGTCAGAGGCAAATTCTTTATGGTGAATGGTGCCAATCTCGCCTGTGGATGCGCCAGGAGTCCCATGGGGTTCAGTCCCCACTGTCATATTGGAGACGGTTGTGTAGATGTGATTTTGGTTCGACACACTTCGTTTTTTAACAATATTCGGATGTTACTGAGGTTGTCCAGCAAACAGAAGACTCTGGTATGTGAGATAGTTGCGTACTTTTAACTCCAGACACCTATAAATTTGAATGTGAAAAAATAAAGATTATATTGTGATTTGTTGTTAAGCTATAAATGATCGAAACATTTATTTTGTATAAACTTAAAAATTATAAAAATAGTAATGTAAGAATGCTAATAGTACGGACTTATACATTCAATTTTTATGGTTAGGTTTGAGAACTTCTGAATGCTGGAGATAAAAAGACTGAAATTCGAAGATTTCTATATTCCAAAATTCTAAAAGTTATATATTCTTAAATTCCTAACCTCTTAAAACCTAAAAATTTCGAAGTTCCTATATTCCTAACCTCTTAAAATTCTAAAGTTCCGAAATCCTTAAATTCGCTGCATAAATCTGAATAATGCACGATCAAAGGGCAAACGTAATTTCTTCGCCACTGTGTACAATCATTGCAATAGTGTTCGACTGTTTGCTTTCCACAGTACGATCTACCGTTCGTCGAGGTGTACAGAGCGAGGGAGTTCACGTTCCGCGCCCTACCTACCCTACACATGCAGTCCAACAGCGAGATTAGCAACCGTTATCTGAACTCGAGTCTGAGTGTGTGGAACTGTGATGGCGAAGTGATCGATAATTCAAACGTGAAAATCAGGTAAACATCGCTCGGATATTTACAGGCACTTCATGCTCACTTCCGGTTAAATCATTTACACATAACCTATAATATCTTCAATAAAAGCAATTTTGTAAATACTTTGTAAATTTTTTAATCCTTCTTTCTCATTTTATAAAAAAATTCTTCGAACGGAATTATATAATTTACCTGATGTAATTTGTTGACAGGGTACACTGCCAACTAGTGAACGTATTCACGAGACGAGCCCAGGAACCAGTTCATGGCCGGACCTGTTTCTGTTAGTGGCGGGTAGTTGATCTACTCCAATGTCGCGCTGTTTAAAATAAGAAAACGACGAACGCGTGTTTCCGTGAGACATGACGGCATTCAAATCGCATAGTTCCTTCGACTTGCCCTAATTAATTGTTACCGTGATATCGCCACGTAACGCGTGACAACTGCGAATAATTGTCTAGCACGACGATGATATCTCGAAAATTCTATGGTATCTTGTCGTGAAAACCAACGCTTACATTTGCGAAATTATAACCTAGAAAAGGTAATCAAAGAAATTTTTAACTCTACTGAAAAGTACTGGTTTGTAGAAATAAAAATTTAGGACGTTGGAATTTCTAATATGTATAGTGTGAAAATGTTTAAAACTTGAGTTGAAGTTTTAAAAATTTTAAAATTGTAGAATTTGAGAGAATGTGAATTTCTAAACTTAAAGTTAAAAATTTAATTAATAGTGAAATTCCAAAATTTAATTTTAACTCACGATGCTATAATTTACAAGATATCGTCGTCGTTTGAACGTCTGACTATCAGTAGTATATTCTACTGAATATACTAAGCGAAGCGAATCAAAGCTATGCCTATTTATCTCGCGTGTCTTTGAATCGAGGTCTGAAACCACCAAGAACCATGTCAACGTCCACGAAGACCTCGAAGGCTGCGAGATTTTACGTTTGCACGATATTCGGCCAATCTTTTTTCTTTTTTCCCTTCTTACTCTTAGATTGTAATCTATAATCGTCGAACATTCCATCGTGGATGTTTCCACTACGCGGCTCAGTCGATAATATGTACTTACAGAATTTTGTATGACGGAACCGGTTTTTTCCGGGTTTTTTTCCTGATATTGCTGCACTGGTTGCGCATTTTCGTACTCAAGATACACACACACACACACACACACACGTACACACACGCGAAATGCGATTATTGTAGATTTGGTGCATGGATGAACTCTTCCCTGTATGATATTTCCCAGGATATTACCATTAGGATGCTTAAGTTTACTCGATAGTTTGTTTAGAGATTGTACAGTATGACCATCGTCCTTATGATTCGATTATATATTTTTCACCTGGAGGACGAGCCAAAAAAGACGAAAAAAATTGATTAGAGTGCTAAGAGTTCGTAATTAAGGAGAACAAAATTGTGAAGGGAATCGATGAAGTATTACTTCGAATTCCCCAGGGTGACAGGATGGTCAATTGGTTTTTGGACGAGTTTATATTTGAATTCTATAGGATGTAACAATCTCAGATTCAAGTAATTTTTCAAATTTGCAAGACTAGGAATCTTCCTTACCCTCTGCCACTTTAACGTGGTTTTCTAAGAGCGCAGCTTGCAGAGACATCTGTTAGTAACTCCGGGAACTACAACGAATTATCGATCTTACGGTTCCAAATACTTACCGACGATTTTTAAGGTAACTACACATCGTGAAAAACATTTTGTAACATCGAACGACCATCAAAACACGTTCAAAGACACTTTGACCACGCTGATACCTTCGCCAAACCAAGTGTTTCGTCTTCAATAGCGTTAGAGTAGTAATATTTTCTTTACCATGCCCAAGATGGCGAACTACGTGTACAGACAAAGAGAAAAAAAGCGAGAGCTACATGTATTTTCGTGAAACGAGCACGATTTTAAAATGCTGCGTTCGTAGATGTACATGCACGAGGTATATGGCTGTTAGAGCTTAAGCTTAGAGTACTTCAGAGAAGAATCGAGCGGCATTTACTTTACCAGGACAAGTATTTTGATCTATTTATATAACCATAGAAAGTAGGGTCCGTGAAGATTGAGCTAACAAGACGAATCGACTTTTCTACCACGAGAAATACATTTGATTGTCGATAAATTCACTGCTGCGTTATTTATAAATTTTTGGTATTATCGCGTTACATTGTGCAACTAGGTTATGCGTACAGCGTACAGTATTTCGTTGACCCTATAAAGTTTCAATGTTTGGTTGAGGTTCGGTTAAATTTTTATACCATTTTGTTGATAATCGAGACAGGGAGAAGAGAGAATCTGATAGAAGTAAGGTATTTTTATATGTTTAATATCGAGATACCTAAGATGGATTAGGTAGCATATGGGATACAAATACAAAGATTCATGAATTACGACTTAACCTCTATTTTTCTTTTTCGATACGAAGACTTGCAAGTTGATATATCACGATGACAAGAAATTTCTGAAGTTATAAAGAGAAGAATTGAACGCAGCAATGAATACCTTGTGAACTGATTCGAATGTAGAAAGGAAGACTCTCGACAACACCTCCGAACGTGCCCTTCCCGTCGAACGGTTCGTTCGTAACTGAAGACGCGAGCGACAAGCGGCAACCTTCACTCGGTCCTTTCTAGTCTGTTGCGTTCGCGTCGAAACACACGTGCTCCGTCCTTGGTTTCCGTTTCCTGTAGCTTTGCCTATTTTAAAGAGATGGAAGTTTCCTTCATCAGTGCTTTGATCTCGAGTAAAAAGATGCAAAGCGGATGCAAACGAAAAGAAGAGAACTATTTTTATGGTACAATCGACAATCTTTGTTGAGGGCCAATGTTTTTTATACGGGTAATACGAAAAATTGAAACTTCATTTTATCTCACAACTCTGTTTATATTTAATTTTTTTCCTGTGATATTTTGAATTTTTTTTTTAATTTCAATCATAGAATTTGTTGATTTTGCCGCCATAACTTTGCACTTCTGGTTTCAAAGACACAGAGGAAGAACGACGTACCTTCCGAATTTCATCCGAAGTGCATTTTTTTTTTTTATATCAGTTTAACTAGCTCATTCGAAATTCGAAATTCGACCACGTGCTTTTCGATTTTTTAACCTCTCGAAGTTTGATAGATGGCACTTCCTGTTCACGGTTTCCCTCCAAGTCGAACAGTATTTTTAATCTTCTTCAATTTTGTTTCATTTTTTACTATTTCGAAACCATTCTGACAACGAAATTTTTGCCAGACTTTTTTTTCTAGAAACGTGTATTTTCAGAAACAAAAATGGCGGACCACAAGGGGTTAACGACCGACAGACTCAAAAAGAGAAATAGCGATTAGATAGAGATTATTTTGTAGACGCGTGTGTCCAGGTTGTACAGATATACATACATATATATTATATAAATACATATGTATATATCTATATTTTAATTACGAGGTATTTATATACATAGAGCGGAAATAAGATAGTCGCGTCGAGTCGCTTCCGGTATGGCTGTAACCAAGCGCACTATACCGATTGTTTTCGATCATCTTCACGATGGTGCACCAAATGTCGAGAATGGCTGCGCATATTATTAATAAATTGTACTTCACTTTTTCATCCCCGTGTCGTTTTTCTCCTCCCTGTCCCTCTCTTAAACTCAAACTTTAAATAATTTTAAGTCAAAAGCCTACACCAAAAAGAAAAAGAAAAAAAAGAGAAAAAATAAATAAATAAAATGGACACTTACAAAAATCTACGGCGACGTACAATGGATCGTATCGAGGTATTTGCAAGTTTCGATACCAAGCGACAGTGGCGCGCTCTATGCGGAAATGAAGTTCGAAACAACATAAGAGGGGGATAAATTTTCGGCCAACATACATTTACTCTTTTTTCTCCTCTTTTATATATTATGAATTTTTAATAATCAATATTGTCGGATATATATATAATATATATATTATATATATAATATAATACATTATATTAATTGAGACAGTATGGACACAACGTATAATTGGCGCGGTAAGGTGACAAAGAAGCCTCTCCCTTGTCAGTGTCCCTTCGTCGGAGGGTTGCCAGCTCCGTTTGCGAGTCGAGGTCGTTTCACGCACCTCGTTTCTCGTTTTATCCTTTTCCCTTCTTTCTCTCCTTTCTCCTCCTTCCACGCGTCGCTCCCCGAAATTTTCCACGGTTCCGAGCAACCGAGCTCTCTCCACGCTTATCACAACTGGTTTCTCTTAAGCATTAATACTCGACGATATTGCGTACCTATCATACCGTCTCTATGGAAAGAGGGCTGGCGAGTCATAATTATCCCTATGCAGATACATGCTTGAGAATCGAACGAGAAAATATGAAACTTCCTAACCACTGAAATATGAAAAAAATTGGACACTCATTTGCCGAAGTGTCTCAGTAATTTCACACTAGGTCTACCAATCGTTACCGTATCCCTAAAAATATTATATACACGGGTGATTAGAATTAATCGGTGTCACGATGGAAATAGGTAATATATACTCGCTAAAAATGAAGCTTAATGAAAACAAAGAATCGAGAAGGCTAATTCTAAGGATAAACGAGAAGTCACTATGCGAGCAGCCCGTATACCCCAACGAATAATTAAAAACCACTGTAGCCACTCTTCCCATACAGAAATCTAATTTAACGCGCTTCGTCTCTTTCGGTTACCACTATCACCACCTTGTCACAGCCCTCCCCCTCTTCCCGCCCCCGCCAAAGGCTAACCACTCACGATTCTTCCTTCTCCGTTCCACTTTTCAACGTTCCTTCTATTCACTCTCGTCCCTCGCTCGTCCAATTACTTTTGTCGCGTTTTTTCTTGCCACCTCCCTCGCAGCGTATCGTTATACTATTTAGTCTAATCCCTGATATATAACATGAACCTCGTTCACAATCGTAAAAAAAGGATCGTGAGACGAAAATACACGCGAGCTCTCAGCCACACGCGAGGTGGTCGAGTGCTCGCGTCCTCGGCTTCCTTCTTCCTATTCTCCCTCCCGGCGCGACTGCAGCGCACTCTAGTCGCAGTTGCTCGCACTGGCGATCGCGCGCCGATCTTTCTTTCGTGGTGGGGGTAGCGAAGACTTGGGTGTCGGGGGTCACGTGATCGTAATCGAGAGAACCTTTAACACACTGCTCGACGAACATTGAGAATATTTTGGACAATGAAAATATTGAAAACATTGTGCGTTTTCTAAAAGAAAGCTGGTTGTAGGTCTTGGAAAGATAGAAAGCTTGAAACGATTACATATATATATGAATAAGCAAAGAAGTAAAGACGGTGGGATAACGAATTGGAGAATGTACGTGGAGTTTAGGTTATGCATTAAAAAGTGAATATACGAAATCGTAAGCCCCCGACGACACCTGTTCCTCGACTAGACCCCTATAGTTTCTGTTCCTTTCTCTCGATAAACGATAAATCGCTCGCGTGTTTTCGCCTCGCCGCCTACTTTGTACAACCGATACTACACAGTGTGCTATTCTCGTTTGCTCAATAAATATTCGATAAATATATCATTGTATTTCATCATTATAATATATGTATATCATCGTATTGCCGTAATAATAGGTAGTAATAATCGCACTATGTTATTCATCGCCGTTTCGTCGTTTACAATTACCAGTGTCGTTAAGTACCGTTAAACTTTATATATATATATATATTATTATTATTTATTATTATTGTTATCGTTATTCTCGTAGCTGAACTTGCACCTCGCATGCTCGTGCGCTCTATATTCATCTATTGAACCCTCGCAACACCCCTCCCCCCCCAAACCATCCACCCCAACAACGAAGAAAAAAAAAAAAAA